TAAAACACTTGCCCTTTCTATTAAAAAACCACTTTTACCCCTACTTTTTCATACCCTACCTATCACATCATACTTTTTCACTAACAACTAAACTATCACATCTTACTTTTACCCATCACATCAAGGGCAAAATTGGAAAGTCAACTACAATTTAACACTTCCTTATTTTCCCCCAAAGTCAAAAGAGGAACTCTTTTGAGAAACGGAGGTAGTACATTTTTTCCACACATAACAGTTTTTTCTGTATGCACCATTTTTATATAAAGCTGCAATTTGTATGTTAAATTATGCATGCACTGTAATGGTTCATATGTCCACTTTGATTTGTCCTTTGAATTTTATTAAAAATTTATTATATTAATTTGTGGATCGGTGAATAATTATTCATGAGTGACTTTGTATGTGATGGGAAAACTTGAGAATGCATTGTATTCAGAACAAGTTTAATACAGATTTGAAAATAGTTTGCCTATGTGGGATTCGAACCCACATCCATAATACATATCGCTCTACCGTTTGAGCTAATAGGCAATAATTCTTTTCAAAGAGATTATCATATCATCTTGCACATGGATATATTAACTATGCATTTTAATCTTTTAAAATTTACATTATTCAACAAGTTTCTAACTCATATTCAAAACATCCTAAGCATCATCATTTACAAGAAAATTCACTATCTAGACTATACAGTTGCATCATATTTATGTAAGGATAATTTCACGATCAGATGCATCAACTTTGATTATGAGAATACACAGTAATAGAATGTGGTATCTTTTACCTTGATTATGAAAATGTACAATAACATAATGCATTATCCTTAATCTTAATTATGAGAATGCATTACCTTTTCATGTAAATGCAATACCGCGATTGTAACAATGCACAATTTCACACACAAACAAACACAAAAGTAAAAAGATGAAAGAAAGTAAACAAATAAAAATTTTCCCGCAACATTTCTAGCTAAATAACAAAAAAGTAACACAAAAAGTTAAAAAGAAGAGAAAATAAAAGTAGAAATGTACACTCCCAACAAATGCAGCACCACAACAACAGTCAAGGGGCAATCCAACAATTTCATGCATGGTTGAGAGCATGTGAATATTTATACCACAGCCATAATATGTTCAAATTAAACATGAATGTTACCGATCTTTTAAGTCCTTAAAACGTAAAGTTAGTAGTAGTAGTTGTAATCAATTAAAATGTAGCATAGGAACAATAATAAGCTCCATCAACTTAAAAGAATGCAATATGTGAATATCCTAATATCAATAATCAAAACAAAGATAAGTATATATTTATAAAAATCACTGTCAGGACGAGTTGTATTTACGTAGGGTAGCAAGAATGCAAAATTAACACAAACTATTACATAAATGCTTCACAACGAGATAATGATACATAATGATACATAATGATATGTATAAAAGAAAGATGTTTGAATTTGAGAACACACCATAGATATCACTTGTCATATCACAACGAGACAAAATACAAATTGCATATCAAGAATCTCTCTAAAGCACAAGTCATTGACATTAACATTTAGAAAGAGTAGATCTAATAAAAAATAACACCCAAGTATATTAAATATACAATATAATAGAAAAAACCAATTTAAAGTTGCTTTGATTAAACACCAGGCCCCCATTAACTTGTGTTTTCCTTTTAATTAAACATTAACTGATTATATGCCATATAAATTACCAAATACAAAGAACATTCATAACTTGCTCCTCATTAAAAAATGTTAGAAAGGATAGATTTAACAATAAGAAGTTACTATTGAAGTTCAGATGTAAAAAGGTGCATCCTAAGAAGTGTTGAATGCACTATAAAATTTTTGAATAGCAGTGCAAACATGAGTGATGCATAATACTGCAGATTGCTTACATATGTGCCATTATTCTCTAGTCATTTGAATAGTGTGATGTTTCTCATGGTTATTAAACCAATTCTGCAAAAACATACCCCCCCCCCCCACTAGAAGCTTTTGTTAAATATACATTTTTTGAAAAAAAAATATTTGAAAACAAAACGGAGTTAAAGATTAAAATTCAAAAATTAGTGAGTCCAACCCTATATCCAAAAATAGGAAAAATGCAATATTGCACCCCAAGACTTAATCATTAAAGTAGATAAACAAAATCAAATCATCTAAAATCAAAAGGTTAGAAAAAGTTTACTCACAACACATCTTTGGGACATTTTGTCGAACATATAGCTTGCAATCTTTGCTGGTGTGACTTGTGGCCAATTCAGCACCGTACCATCCGTAGCACGAAGAACCTTAGCAATGGTATTAGAATCCATGTGCATCAACATGGCTGGGATGAAGCTATCAGCACAAAGTAAGATGCATTGCAAGATCGGTACAATCAAATTTGTATAAATAAGTAATTGGCCTTCATATAACCTTTTAATTTAGACAACGAATCAGGGGAGAAAAGTAAGAATCCAAACATAAACGAAATTCTAAATCCAGATTTCAATTGAATGCCAATAAAAAATATCAGATGCTCAAGATTTAGTCGAACCACCCTCCTTCCAAGAATATATGGATGAACGAAATTCTTGATTCAAAAACTAAAAAGATAACATACCTAATATCATTGTAGAATCTATGGGAGATATTCTCCTTTGAACACTACAAGATTGATTGCCATGGTGGTAGACGGATGAAGAAATGGAAGGTGCAAGTAGATTGTGCGCATATTTTACGGATACATAAAAAAAAGGAGAGATACGACTCATCTGTTGAAAAGTCTAAAATACCAACGGATAAATTCTACAAATACATCTAGATCTAATGGCTACGAGACATTCTTATTTCTTTCATAAGATCTCATTCTCACCGGAACCAAAACCTATATAGGGGCCGGTTCAAATATATATATATATATATATATATATTACAAATCTTTAAAATGTTTAAAAAAACTCCGCCAAATTTGATTTTTAAAAATTAGTTATGCAGTTGTGATTAACCACACATATTTGTGTGCATATTGTGTTTTTATTTTTTGAAACAAGTCAACATTGCCGCATTTACATGTGCGATGCGTTGGAAACACATATAAATGTGGCAAAAGAAAAGATTAACAACACTTATAAGTGTGTTTAATTAACGTATTCAATTGCCGCACTTATTTTATGTGGGGCAAAATTTTCCCCACATTGCCAGCCGCCACACTTAGCACATGTGTGGCAAACACTCTTTCCCGCACTTATATATGTTGCGAAGAGCCAGTTTAAGTGTGGCAAAAGACGCATTTTCTTGTAGTGACCATTATATGTTCCGAGTATTGCTTTCTTATTTACCTCGAAAAAAATTCATATGTACGTGTTTGAGACAATTATGTACTCTCATCGTGTGGAAATATTCTTTTCATTTAACTTTTTACGGTTTCCTACATTGTACTTTGACCATTGATATCTATATTTATATATAAGTATATTTTATAGAAAATATATATTTAAAAACTACTCCCACCGTTTCTTAAAACACTTCCTCTTTAATTCATTTTTTTTGTTTTCTGCAAAACACTTCCACTTTAATTTCTATTAAAACACCACTTTTACCCCTATTTTTTCTTACCCTTATCTATCAGTTCATACTTTTTCACTAATAATCTACCATCATATCAAGGGCAAAAGTGGTAAGTCAACCACAAATATACACTCCATATTTCTTGTAGAATTCAAATAGGAACCGTTTTATGAAACGGAGGGAGTGAAATTTCCACAAGCACAACGCAGTGTTTTAACCAAATAAACTCACACGCATGCAACACAACCAGGACGTTGTTGGAAATTGTGTTATAGCTCAACTGTTAGTACCACAGAATGCTACAACACCTTTTCTAACACCAGTGCAAACACACACACACCAAAAGCAAGTAAAGACACATGCAGAGATTTGTTTTCGCAGTTCGGAGCTGAATCTCCTACATACTTATGCGAGGCCCACATCCGTACGTGTAATAGCCTCTCCACTAGATCAACATAAGAATTACACAATCAATCTCAAAATATCCTTCTAGTGAATTGACTTGTCTACTTACGTGATCCGACACCAAACTCGGTTTGTGTCACTCTAGGCCTATTACACCTTCTTTTTGCTCTACACGAAGGATGTGTCACCGACCATTGCTCAGCCAACCAAGTTTCCATAGCTGAACAATCTTTAGAGAAGATCCATGGCTGATCTTCTCATACAAATCTCACAGATATATATATGATAAACTTTCTTCTCTTACTCTCTTTTATAACGTAGGAATATTAGTTCGCAGAGTCTCTTCTCTCTACTCTAAAACCCTTGTATCTTTTTCTCTCAAACCCGTGCCATCCTCTGAAACCCCTTATATATACATATACTTTTGTAGGCTGCAACCCTAACCTTCTGCGCATAGAATTCTTTCATAAACGTTCTCATATCCGTAAAATACTGGGCAAGTAAGACTCCTTGAGCGTGCCGAGGGTTGGGAGGAAAAAGTCCTGCACCGATCCAACTCTTGAGAAGATAAGCACTACCTCCGTAGCGTCCTTGTTACTGCAGGTTTGCGTGTGTAGGATGACTAATGACCAATTCTACTAAAACAAGGACACTTACACCTATTCTACTCTAGTTGTTGTGTGTTGTTAAAAAACAATGCCAACTCATACAAATCATAGCACACACATGATAGAGCTAACAATCTTCCCCTTTGGCAATTTTTGACAAACACAATCACTGACACTCAGCCGGTTCAGAACCTCTTCTCCCCCTTTTGGAAAAAAATGCCAAAGGCAAAAAATATTATTTAAACTGGAGAAGAGTAACATTCAAAAACCGGGTGCAAGAGTGTGTACAATAGCTAGTCTAGAAAATAAATAAAGTGGTCATCCTACTTGTGCAAATTCCTGAGTAAGCAAGGAGACCAGCCAAGTGCGCAGATTATCAAAAAACCATTCTGTAGAAAGTACCCAGGGCTTTCATTATCCCAAAAACAATTCAGTTCGCAGTCAGACAATCCATAGCACAAAACCATATCCAAAAACCAGGCAGTTTTAACAAAATAAGAGAAACAGAACTCATCTTCAGAAAATCCAAAGCACAAAAACAGGGACAAAACAATCCCAAAAACCAAGAGTTTGCCAAAAAATGGAGTTTTTCTAGAAATCGGAATTAAGGATTATGCATCAGCTCCATCAAACTTATGCAGCTCTACCTCAAAATCAGATTCCTCTTCTCCTGAGCTTGTCCCTTCCNCCCCCCCCGAGTTGTATCATCTTCTTGCACACTCTGTTTGGATTTCTCCCCCTTAGCTTGTGCACTTGTATCTTGAGTTGCATCCAATGATGAGAGGATAATAGTAAGTTTTTTCTTTTTGACTTCAGCTTCCTTGATCATATCCTTGTGCTTATCAATTTGTTCTTGCAGCAACTTTATTTCAGCCTTGATGAATGTTGTTTGAGAGAAATCTAATTTACGAAATGCTGGGGCTACCTTCTGATCATCATTTGTCACCATGTCATTGTGGTGTCTCCCTTCAAAGTGCCTCAAGTCAACCTGCAGCAGTGGAGGTGCAGGTTCTTCTTCATCTGCAACATCAAGTCCCTATGACTTAAGCATTTGAAAAATAAGGAGAGGATAAGGAAGGCCATTAGTGTTGTGTTTGGCTCTCTCAGATGCAAAGCTCATTATCAGACCAAAGATGATCTTTCCCAAGTTGAAGGGGAGGCCATGCTTAATTTTGTAGATGAGTGTAGTCATACAGAGTGGGACTGTGTTCATATGAGTAGTGGGAAGCCAGTGATATGCAGCAACTCTAAAAAGGATAGCATATGAGCTTTTAAGGATGGAGGAGGGAACTTTTGACCTAGAGGATTGGGAAATACGCTCACCACGGGTAAGATTTGTCCAAAGATGACGTTCATTTACATTCTTTTCTGAGGAAGGGGGTTTGGTGTCGAGAAATTGGTTAATTTTGGCAGGGGACATATCATAAAATTTGTCTCTCACAAAAATTTTATGAAAAGAGGGGTCAGAGGATGTGTTACAGCACTCTGACAGGTTGTAGTAAAACTCTTGAATGACTTTTCTAACATAGGATCTAGGCAGTGTGACAGATTTGATCAAATTACAGTTTTTCAGCACAGGGATTAAATTTTTGTTGGCTTCAAAATCCTCAATATCAATGCTTCTTTGTGGAAAAATAGTTTTCTTAGCAGTTTCAGACATGAATGAACTTGCAATAGATGAAACAAAGAATTCTCTAGAAAACTTTCCTAGTTTGGATGATTTTGCAATAGTGCTTTCTTTCCTCTTGCTGCTCTGCCTCTTGATTGAAATATTTTCCGAGGCAGGTGATCCCTTTTGTCTTTTTGAGCTCTCTTCTTCATTGATTTTTACCTTTCCTTTTCTCTTTAGTCCCCTTCTTGGTGTGGCTGGACTGACTTCAATTTCTTCTGCACTTTTAGTCTCTTGGTCTTCTTTTGCCTTACTCTGGCGCAGAGACCATCTACATCCAGTTCCTTTGGCCTTTGTTTTCTTAGATTTTGGAGTTGAGAATTTTGGCTCTTCAAACCGCACGTCAGAGCATGCAAGCAGTGGTTCTTCATCAACAATTTCTGGGATCTTCTCCTCCCGCATCAGATCTTTCTCTTCTTCTTTTTGCATGTTCTCTTCTTGATGTCCAGATGTATACTCCAGGTAGAGCGTATCTGGAATCTTGGCTAGAGGGTGTAGAAGAACATCATCGTCTATGTCCTCTCTGACTCTAACTTTGACATGATAAAATAGGAAAACATCAATATTTTAAATTATATTAAAAAATTATTGATAAAATAATTGCATAGAAAGTTTTATTAATTTAACTTTATATAAGAACCCTCACATTTCCCTTTAATACTTATTTTTTCTCATTTTTATTTATTAACAACATTGCAGACAATATGAGTGACCCTTGGTCCTTGATGGGAGATTTCAATTGCATTCTTCAATTTAATGAAAGGATAGGAGGCTGTCAAGTTCAAGAGAACGAGCTGATAGACTTCAGAGATTGCATTGCTAGAAATGGCTTGGAAGAGGATTTTCTCTAGGCTCGACAGAGTGCTGTGGAACATGGAATGGATCACACAGAAGGGCGGAAAGGTCCTTGTGAAAGGTGAGGGTGTTTCTGACCACACACCCCTCATACTCCCACTGGATCACTACAACAAGAGGAACATCAGCTTCAAATACTGTGACATGTGGGCTCTTAACCCACAAATGGATGAGTTTGTGAAGAAGATCTGGGCGAGGAATAGCAATGATAGACCTATGTATCAACTGGTGAATAATCTACAAGGACTCAAACCTCTTCTGAAGAAGCTACATAAACAGAACTTCAGCTACATTACTAAACAAATTGATATCACTAGGGACGAGCTGTTTAGTATCCAGAATAGGATCAAAGTTAATTCTCTTCCTGAACTCTTTCATAAGAAAAAGGAACTCAATACCCTTCTCAACCAGAAAATTAAGGCATACCACCTTCTGAAGAATCAACAAAGTAAGGCAGAATGGATCAGAATGGGGGATAGTGATTCAAGACTCTTTCACGCATGGGCAAAAAAAAAAGAGGAAGGATTCAGAATTGAATCCTTACTGTCTAGAACAAAGATGGGAAAATGGTGGAAGGTCAAAATGAAGTTGCTGAGGTCATGGTAGACTACTTTCATAACCTTCTTGGAAAGAGAGTCTTCATGAAGGAGAACATGAATCTCGGCATTATCAATACGGGAATGGTGCTGAGTATGGAGCAGCAGCTAGCACTTAACCAACCCTTCACTGAGGAGCAAGTTAAAAAGGCTGTGTTTAGCATTCCAAATAATAAGAGTCCCGGGCCGGATGGATATAGCAGCGGTTTTTTCAAAGATCAATGGCACATGGTGGGAGAGCTGACAACCAAGGCCAATCTTGACTTCTTCAAAGAGGGCAGGACACTGAAGCAAATCAACTCCACTAAACTGATTTTGACCTCGAAAAATGATAACACTATCACTCCCGATGATTATAGGCCGATCCCCGGCTGTAAAACGATCTATAAAGCCATCTCAAAACTGATCAGTGAAAGAATTAGAGGAGTACTCCATAATATCATTGACCTCAATCAAGGAGCTTTCATAAAAGGGAGACAACTCCTCCATAATGTGCTGCTCTGCCAAGAAATAGTTAAGGGTTACAAAAGAAAAGGAAAGTCGCCCCGTTGTATCCTTAAACTTGACCTTAAAAAGGCCTACGACTTCGTTGACTGGAATGCGACTATTGGTAATCTTAAAGCCATGAAATTCCCCACTCAAATGATAAAATGGATCCAGTTTTGTATTTGTACTAATTGTTTTTCCATACAAATGGACTGAGAGGACTTTGGGTACTTCATAGGAGAGAAGGGGTTGCGCCAAGGAGACCCGCTGTCGCCCCTCCTTTTCACTGTGATCATGGATTATTTCACAAGGACGCTGAGGTTCTTCGAAGCCCAAGGGAGGTTTAATTACCGGAGAATTTACGTAGATAGCACTAAAACATAATGACATTATATTCTCTAAACAGCATCAGGTATGTTTTTTCCCAAAGTAGCACTTTTAGTCATTATCAATTAGTCATTATTCAAGTAAATGTTTGTCATCACTGAACATTATGGATATTATTAAGTGCTATTTACAGAATAAAACAATTTTAAAACTATTTAGGGAAATTACTTGAGTTTTAGTGCTATTTGGTGCATATATTTTTTAATTACCATCCCATGTGCGGGAAGCTTAGTCTTATTAACCTTGTTTTTGCAGATGATCTCATAGTCATGTGTTAGGCGAATATGAACTCTATCAATTGTATCAAGGCAGCACAGGGACTGGAGCACTTCAAAGAGGCCGTTGGCATGGACGTCAACACCACGAAGTCTGAAATTATCTTCAGTGGTACTGACCGCATGCTCATGAACCAGATCCTCAACTTCACAGGCATGAAGGAAGGCTCCCTCCCATTCAAATACCTGGGCTGTCCATGCCAGTAACACCAACGAGGCTGAACAAGAATGACTGTGCGAGACTGGTTGATAATATGACGAACATGCATGATCAAAACCTGGGCAACCAAACACATGTCCTTCACGGGGAGAGCAAAACTACTTATCAACTTGGTATTGTTTGGTATTATGAATTTGTGGTGAAGGATTTTCATTACCCCTAAAAATGTCATGAATAAAATTCAAGCTCTCTGTCTCAATTTCTTATGGAGTACGTGCTAGCATGGAGTTTAAGAAGGTTCCCATGGTTGCGTGGGATGACTGCTGCGCAGCCCAAGACGAACAAAGGAAGCCAACCATCTTTTATGTAGCTACAACTCCTACAAGTTTGCTAATTAAGAAGGTACGTAGTAGACTTGGGGAGGAAAATCTTCTCAAGTGGCAGGGGGATATGACCCGATGTTTATTTTCTATGTAAGTATTAAATTTTGTGTTAGGAATATAAAGTTGTGCTTTTGTCCAAAAAAATTGATTTTTTTTTCTAATTTTTATTAAAATTTTTGAAAGTCAAAATAGTTTAGACAAAAAGACGAAAGTAAGAGTAAAACATGAAAAAATATACTCCCTCCGTCCCATAAAGTGTTACCCATTTTGACTAAAGTTGAAATTAAGGGAGGGATAATTTTGTGTTGACTTTCCAAAAATACCCTTGATGTGATGGGTAAAAGTAGGATGTGATGTGTAGATTATTAGGAAAAAGGTATGATGTGATAGGTAGAGTTTGAAAAAGTAAGGGGTAAAAGTGGTTTTTTAATAGAAATGGGTAAGGTATTGTGAGACGCAATTTTTTTGAAACGTGTAAATCTTTTTGGGACGGAGGGAGTATAAAAATAAAAGTTTTATGACTGTATTCTAAAAACAGGAGTTACAATAAAAATAAAATGTCAATCATGAAAGAATTTTTTTAAAATTTATCATTTTGATATTTATTCTAATTTATATTATAATCATTATTTTTTTGCAAAAATAGTTTTTTTGTGTATGAAAAATAACAATATTTTTTTATCTTAATAAAGGCATTCATTAAGATAATGTGATGATGATGATGATGATGATTATAATAATTTATAACAACAAGAATTAGAATAAGAATAATATAAAAATACACTAAAATAAATTTTTTAAAGTTTGTTTAGGTTTTCCATTTTTTTGATGTTTTTCCATTTTTTTCCAGTTTTTTCCAACATTCGACTCTTTTTTCCAGTCCTAAAGAACAAGCTCTTACTGTCTTGTGTTTCTTTTTATTGTAATATAAATAAAATAAAGTCACTTTGTTCATTATTCATTTATTCTCGGTTACAATTACCCAGCTTGTCAATGGATGTCCTAATAAAGGTTACTATGGAAGAAAATAAAATAATAAATTAGACTTGTAAACTAAATCTAAGGCATCAATGTGACAATTTGCGTAGGTGCTCTAAATCTAAGATTCTCCATAATAATAATAATAATAATAATAATAATAATAATAGTAATAATAATAATAATAATAATAATAGTAATAGTAATAATAACAATTAGTATCATAAAAATAATAGACCTCCCTTCGTCAACAAATAAACTTCCTGTTTCGCATTACAATGTTTGACTAATGTTATTTTAAAATTATTTTATATAAAAATGGTGTAAAATTTAAAAATAAAAACTACATATTAAAAAACTATATCAAAAGATCTACAAAACTAGAGGTGACATGACTATATTATTTTATCAAATGGGTGACGAAAATAGGCCAAGAAAGTGAATAAAGTTTGACCATGTGAATAGTGAACGAGAAATTTATTTGTGGACGGAGGGAGTAATCATCGTCATCATCATAATCATAATCATAATTATAACAACAACAACAACAACAATAATAATAATAACGAAAGAATATTAAAAGGAAGATAATGATGTATGAAATTCTGTTTCAATACATATACTCCCCCCGTCCTATATCTTTCTTCCCGTTGCGCAAAACGAAGAAAAATCCCAAGTTTTTTCAATCTATTTTATTTAAATATTGGTANATAGTGATTCCTTTAACTTTTTTAAATACATACTTCATCCGTCCCACTATATTTGTCCACTTTCATTTTTGCACACCATCCAATACACTTCTTTAATCCATTTTATCTTGTAATTTGTATATTAAAAAATTATAGAAATTATATATTAATAATCTATATGTTAAGACAAATCAAACAAGATCACACATGACTATATTTAGGCTTACACATTGAGAGAATTTGATGAGTCAAAGTGCTTAGATGAACAGTTCCAAAAGTCAAAAGTGGACGAATATAGCGAGACGGAGGGAGTACATCATTGACTTTTTTTATTAACTGAGTTTCATTGTATTTTTAAAGAAACATTTATAAAAAGAAATTTCACTGATTTTTTATTAATTGAATTTCACTGACTACATGATTAATATAAAAATTGCGTCCCTTAAAGTCCGTTCCATTTATATTAAAAAACCACTTTTACCCCTTGCTTTTTCATGCCCTACCTATCACATCATACCTTTTTCCTAATAATCTACTCATCACATTTTACTTTTACCCATTACATCAAGGGTATTTTTGGAAAGTCAACACCAAAATATCTCTCCTTATTTTGCCACTTTAATCAAAATGTCCCAATCTCTTTGGGACGGAGGGAGTATATGCCTTTCAATGGGAACTAAGATTCTTTATGAAAGTAATGGTTATCAGCAAAAATTAAGGAGAAAAGAATGTATTACAGTGTCAATTTGTTTTTTTTTCATTTCTTGGATCTAAGCGACTCTTGATCTTATATTTTCCACCTTTTGCAAATTTGTTTCGAGTATAGACTCTAGCAATATGATAACTTCTCTACAAATAATTGATGAGTTAATTATTGAGATGTGAGTTTAAACATTCACATAGTATCCTAGCAAATTAAAAGGGAGCAGTGGTGGGGAGAGGATGATAACAGTTCATTTACCAATAACCACCCACTTACACTTTTTTGTGAACACGATCATGCATCAAAATGTTGTGGAGGTGTATTTGTTTGTGTGTGTATATTTATATATATACATACATATATACACATGAAAATGGTTTAACGTCAAAATTAAATACTATAGAAAACTGAACATAAAATATGTGCTTATTATTATCAAAGTATTTACAGTCTATCACATGCATGTTGGCACATTGTACCCACAAACGGCATGGATGCGAAGAGCCCCCTCATTTTTGCTGTCATCCACATCTTTCAAAAAAGACCATTGTCCAAAACTTCCCTTTGGTTGAACTGACTTTTTTTGTTTTGTGTTTGCAAGCTTTGAGTGATTCCATGAACTGTAAAGGCTTCTGAAGAAACATAGAGATTTCCATTGCTTTTATACTGATCAAGAATGGGACAGTGGACTGGGTGGAGGAGTTGTAAAAGGTGGGAGGGTGACTTGCCTCAATTCATGGGTAATGGGGTTGCCAATGGAGGAGTTGCGGTTTTTATTACGGAGTATTAAATTTGTTATTCAATAAAGAAACTGCTAACAACTGCAATAAATCATTTGGTTTAGAAAAATGTTAGGGGTACACCAAATGGTGTACCTCATTTGTCCCTCACCCCCTCCATTACCACAAAAATGAGTAAGAAACTAAAAAAAATTAAATAAATAAAAATGGAATAAAAATGAGTGGTGGAAAAAAGGGTGGGGGACAAATGGGGTACACCTTTGGTGTACCCCTAGCATTTCTCTTTGGTTTATTTTCATATACTCCCTCCGTCCCAGAGTATTTGTCCACTTTCATTTTTATACACCATCCAATGCACTTCTTTAATCCATTTTATCTTGTAATTTGAATATTAAAAAATTATAGAAATTATATATTAATAATCTATATGTTAAGACAAATCAAACAAGATCACACATGACTATATTTAGGCATACGCATTGAGAGAATTTGATGAGTCAAAGTGCTTAGATGAACATTTCCAAAAGTCAAAACTGGACGAATATAGCGGGACAGAGGTAGTATATGGTTTTATTTTTTCCAAATGTTCTCCATGTTTTTTGCATAAGTTAAGTAATAACTAAATTTTATTAAATGTAATAAGAAAAAAAATTCAATAAAAAATATGTTTTTTATAGTGATTACATGAAATTATGTTTAAATTAATTTGAAATTATTTGAAATTAAGTTTAAATTAGTAAATTTCAAGTATAACTGGTTATAATTAAAAATAACTTCCCAGTTTTTACCGGCCAAAAATCACTGCCACCTTCACCTGTTTATTCGGCCCAACTGCAAAGGAAATTGGCCCAAAACTTTAGGTGGGAGGTTTTTCCTGCTGCTGTTGTAAATAGGAGGATTAAGGATTTTAAAAAAATTGACCATTAATTAAAGAGAATTACGGATACAAAAAATAATTTAATTAAATTTATCTTATAAAGTCTTCCAAAATATTACAGTATTTTATAAAACTGTTATATCATACTCCCTCCGTCCCGGAAAAACATGAGAGTTTTGATTTTGAAGAAAGATTTAAAGAGAGTGTATTTTGGTTTTGAATTTCAAAAAATGTCCTTTGATATGATGGGTAAAAGTATGATTTGATGGATAGATTATTAGTAAAAAGGTATGATGTGATAGGTAGGGTATGAAAAAGTAAGGGATAAAACCCACACCCCACCCTAGCCCCCGATTTCATACCCCCATTACCCCAACCCTATCCTTAACTTGGTGTACACATTGCCATGGGAGGGAGGGGATGGGGTAAGAGGGTAAGGATGGTGGATTTAGGAGGGTGTTAGGCATATAAGAACAATTAATTTTATCATCAGAGCATTTTAAGTATCCAGGTCATCTAAGGATCATTTTTCTAAAGTAGAACAAATCGTGGCGTATTATTATATCCTCTGTCCCAATTTTGATTATAAATTGAGAGTTACAAGACAAGTTCTTACGTTTTTTAAATCATATATTTGCAAATGTATATATCAATAAAAATGAAACTTACATATTAAAAAATTACGTCAAATATTCTACTCCCTCCGTCCCACAAAACCTTTCTCTTTTCTTTTTTCATCTGTCCCAAAAAACCGTTCTTATTTCTATTAAAAAGTCGCTTTTACCCTTACTAATTCTTAATCTACCTATCACATCACATTTTATCACTATTAATTTACCCATCACATTTACTTTTACTCATTACATCCAAAGACATTTTTGAAAAGTCAACATCAAATTACACTCACTTTAAAATTTTTAAAGATAAAAACTAGAAAGGTTTAATAGGACGGAAGGAGTACAAAATAAGAAGTGACAATAAAGAGATACTCCGTAAGAAACGAGAGGTAAAAAAATATTGTAACGAACTTTAGAGTTTTAGGGGGATAAGAGCGTATGACTTTTATTACTATGGTAACGCAATCACTTGCGTATTACAGTGTTTTTTTTTAGTTCTCTATAGTCTTATTAGCAATTTAGCATGCATGATTTGCATACCCCATTTTCAATGTCAAAGAGATGCATCGACTTCTTATGTTAGTGTGATACTAGTATGATATATATTTTACATTGAGATACATTTCTTTGAGGTACAACTTGTGATACACTTTTAGGTGTACCCCTAGCATGATTATTATTATCATAGTTTTAAAAAGTGGATCGGACCATCCGATTCGGATCGTGAACCGGCGAATTGGTGGTCCAATCGATCGGGTCCAACCTTTTGGACCGCAATCAGCTTCAAACCAATCTGAATCGGCGTGAACCGGTAAGAACCGGCCAGTCGAACGAGTCGGAACAGTTTTTTTCCCCTAATTATTTGCGATTTTTTTTCCAAAAGCATACCACCATGGGGGTTTGAAGTTTGAACCCAAGATCTCCTAGACATTTACTCCCTCCGTCCCAAAATGTAAGCAATGTTTACTATTTTGGCTTCTCGATAACTTTTGTTTGTTTATTCTTTTTGGTTGACTATTTGATAAAATAAAATATTCTTGTCACATCTTATTTTGTTGAATTTTTTATCTACTTTTGAACGATGTATTTTTTGCTTTTTATATCTCTACCAATTTGTAAATAAAATGATTTTAAAAGATAATTTTTTATCCACTTTTTGAAATGTTGCTTAGAATTAGGGAGGGAGGGAGTTTTTAAGTTCATAACCATCCAAGCTATGGTGTTTTTTATTACAAGTTCACTTAATCTTTTATAATATTTCATAATTAGAAAAAATATTTTATAAAGATTCCTTTAAATTTAAAAAATATAATATTATATAGCTTTGAGTCAAACACAAAATCATTGATATAATTGATACTATTGCAAAATTTATATCATGCAAATATTTCATTTGAGTGTTTTTAATATTGAACACTTATTTCAAAAAAAATAAAATCAACTCTTCATTTATAAAATTTTTAATGTTAATTTTTAAATATGTAAATTTAATTTTTAAACTTAGTAAACTAACCCAAGTATATTAATATAATTTTAGTCAAATGTTATAAATTACTTTCTTGAGGTATTTATAAATGAAGGAGTGTGTGTGTGTCTACATACATACATACATACATACATACATACATACATATATATATATATATATATATATACACTACATCCGTCCGAGTGTTTTTGTCCAGTTTGACTTTTTTGAGTCAAGTGGATAGACTTTGAACTCCAATAACTCTCAATTTGTATTGTATGTCAGCATAATGAAATACAATTTTTAAACTTCTCAATATGATAAATCTAATAAAGTCATTTTTATGTTAAAATATATTACGGTTTTTATTTAATTGAAGCTCAAAGTTTGTCCAGTTTGATTCGAAAAAGCCAAACTTGACAAATACACTGAGACGGAGGGAGTATGTATTTATGGAAATGGGTAGTGACCTGCTTTTAGTATCGTTTGACAACCGCCATTCCCGTAGTCTATAAATATGGAAATAGGTGCTCCGTTTAATATCACACATACCGAATTGAATTAGCTCCTCAAAACTAGAAACTCTCTCTCTCTCTGTACACTATACAGTTCGTTTTTAACTAGTAACTCTCATAGTAATATACATCAGTCATAGAAAATGACAAATCCAAGCATCAAACATTATCAGTTTTTGTATTTTTCATGTGTCTGTTGCTCTCTGAGGCATGCATGGTCAGTAATAATAATAATCCTAAAAGTGAGGGCGATGTTGTTGGAGTCAAACACGATGATGTTGACACCCAGCTGTCGTCTTTGGTTATTAGTCTCAATATCCCCTCAAAGATTGTT